CCACAAAACACGTCCAAACATTTGTGAGAACGGTCTAGAATCTTCGCGGAAATCGGTCGGCTACCCGACGACGCGAAGCGGAGGACAGACCGTCCAACTCTTCTTAACAGCGTACACTTGCCTTGCTGATACGTGGGGTCCCTCCTCCTCCCAAAGCAACTGTAATCCACCAGCTGCAGGATTAGGGCCGACTTCCCAGTGCCAGGGCTGCCGGAAATAAGAACTCCAGGACTCGCTGAACCCAGGGACTCCTCCATCTCACGAATAAGCCAGTGGCGACCCAAGAACAGGGGGTCAGGTTCCTGCAGGGGCACCTCAAAGAACAGGGGCTTCAGAGTGAGCTGCGGCACACGGTACTGCGCAAACCGAACTGTGAACACGTCAGATATTAAAATCTACATCAAGTTCTAAAAGAATACAGGGTTAAAGGTAGTATCCGCAGCTTCGGGCATAATAACGCTAGATATTAAAATGTGTTATTTTACAAGTGCTCATACCATTAGGTAGCTTTAAGAAGTGCATCTAATGATAAGGAAAAGGAAGAATTCACATGAGAAAGCATGCGACACCAAGAAGGTAACACTCAAGTTTCCCGTAAGTATCAATCGACATAATGAACGACCTACTGAGGCATTGCTCGTACTGACGTTTACACCCGTAACGAGTGACAAAATTTGGACTGATGAATTTACAAAATGACTAACTTTCTCTTGGCTTAAAACGAGATTGGAACACTCCACTGTAACACATTCGGACCGAAGCTAAAACATTCACGGCTGCCGACACAACACACGTACGCGCAGTAATTCACCTGCGATGACCCGAAAAACATGTTTCAGGAGCCCTGCTCAAACCCAAGTGGACTGGATAGAATGACGAGATCAGAGAACATTTACATCGTCATATTAAACATTCTGACAGATTAGCGGCGCGCGCAGCCTGCAGCACGAGCGGACTGGAATGAAGTAGATGAGAATAAAGAACAAAGATCAGCTTGCAGTGCACTGGTGTTCCAATGATCATAGTGTCAGCCACAATAAGGGCCCCCTTTTGCCTGCATGCGACTGTAAGCGGACAAGCCATTCTTCACAACCACAAAAAAAATT